TAAATGATGGACGTCATAAGTTAACGATCCCTTAAGAGAAACATTCGCGAATCTTAATACATTGTATCGCATTGTACATGATCTTAAATCATGCATTAAAAATTCTTTTGACTGAGATTGAAAAGTTCCTGCCAAAAAATCACATTTCTCCAGATAGGTTAAGACGGGTCAAGACATGGTGTTGCTGATAAGGCTATTGAATCTCTAGTGTATTGAAGTCGAGTAATGATTTCATCAGAATTTGGATGTCCACTATCACCAACTGAAATTATTTGCTAGAAAAAAATTCTTATCATTTAAAAAGAAATTTGGCTGAAATGAAGCATAACATGATGATTTGTGAAATGACTCACATCTAGTTAGAAACATAGCTTTACTGAATCTGAATTTGGAGCATTTAATACTGATTTTTGCACAATTTGTGTAGAACAGGACCGTAGTATCCTTCCTATAGACTGAGTTCCTCTTCCAGCTTTGAAAAAATGTAATTAGCAGTTTAGATAGACATTCATCCATCGCCAAAAAAATAAGATTTATGGTAGAAAACTTCAAATCACGCAACTTGCAGTCATGCCTAACAGTAAATCTGTTCCATCATTTTCTCATAGTGCTCAAAAAAAAATTTTACCTTATAATTCTACTGAGAACAAAATAAAATCCATAAATCAAGTCACGACAATTATACATTAACGTGCCATTTGTGTCCATAATTAAAAGCCTTTTTTTTCTCCAACTGATCGCATTGATGATCAGATTAACAACTCTAGTGTCACTTTCTTTATAACTCACATAGCGTTATATTTGTTTATTTTATGTTACAAAACTGGCAAGTCAGTGTCACTCAACACGCATAAGACATAAATTTCATCATAATCATTAAATCTGAAAGAATATTTTAAAAAATTAAAAACACAAAAAACCTGAAATTCTGTTGCTTTATTTATCAACAAAAATTATTACGGTTGAACTCTTCCCATGAAGGAGTACATTAGCCTTAAAAAGATTGGGATTCTTGAAGAATAAATAAAAATGTATGTCATAACATTTTAAATTAGTACAAAAACATCACGATGATTTTTAAAATTCGAGTTAGGATTTGGTTGATGTTTTGAGTGAATATAGCGCATTTGGGACTTAATGATTTAGAAATTAATTGTTGCTGGATCAGTGGAGTTGCACGAAATTTTTTTGGAGATGTTTCGCTTCAAAGGCTGGTTTCTAGGGCAACAAGGAGATTTAAGATTGTTTTTTGCTTTGTGGTTCTTTAAACTTGGTAGCTTGTTTTCCATGTAAAGTCCTGACTTGGAAAATCTTTACCAGAAAAACAGTAAGAACAAAAATACCAACATTTAGCATTAATACGCGAGCGTTACAGCATTGTATGTTCTGTTGGAAATTTTCAAAAATGATATCACAAATTTTTATGCTCATCTTAATCACCATTGAGCAGGTGAGTCATGAATATCAAAGTTCATAATCAATAGTTCCTAATGACTCATCACCTCAAAAGTTCTAGCCAAGTCATTGATTTTTCCTTTCTTACTTCCTTCCTTCCTGACTCATGTGGCATTTTAATGACTAAATGTAGAATTCATTAACGTAAAAAATTTTTACATCATAAATTAATGATTCCAATAAGTCCAAAAAGACGAAGAAGAAAAATAATTAAAGCTTTCATAAAAAAAAAAAAAAATCGTTTCCAATTCGTTGGGTCTCTAAGAGCCGCTCAAATTCTTTTAACTCGTGTGTATTGTGCTGGAAGAAGAAGTTACACACGTTCAGCAAAAAAAGAACTTAAAGAATGAAGGAATGAAAATAATAATAAAAAAAAATTCCCGCGTCTTCTTATTTCTTTCAATTTTCACGTTCTTGTTTTCATTCCATCTCACTTCCACGATACATTGTGGTTGTATATGCGCTCTAATACCACAAAAGTCCACCAACTCTTTGTGTGTAAGAAAAGAACGCTCAATTCGCATAAATAATATTCCATCTTTCCTTCTTTGTTTCTGACCTTGAACAGCAAGTAATATAAGGTTCTTTCAACTCTTTGCTGTGCGCTTCTTATACATTCGCCTTCTCACTCTTCTTTATATTTTTTCTTGTGTGCTATAATTTTTGTAAGCGAAAAAAGTTCGTTATAAGTTGAGTTTAAATGAGTGACTGAAGCGCATTGGACTCGGTTTTGCAGTCAAGTGGTTCTTAAATTGGAGAGGGACGAGGGAACACATGCTGAATGAATCTTCTGTACTACTTGGCATCATATTACGAATTTCAATTATTAATTTCTACTTTAGGCTTGATCTTATGAAGGGGTGAGGGTATAGAAATCTAAAACAATAGAATTCCAGGAAATGCTTAAGCTCTTCCTGGAATTTTATTGTTGAAAAATACCCGTTATTTTCAAATTTATTTATTCATTGCCTTTACAATTCTGAAGTCTTACTGCCAGTTACTCCTTTTAATCCTGACACATATTCTGAGAATTAACATCTTCGTCGATTCCAATCCAGCCTCCCAAACAACTTGCTCTCCTGATATCATTTAAACACGATATCACAACATCTTCTTTTTTTGTAGATTTTAAAAAGCGAATCTCGCGGAAAAAGAGTCGAGAATCTCTTGAACTTGAAAATTCCCAAAAAGAATTTCACGAAAAAAAAAATCTCATTAAAATTTGACTTACGTAATGCATTCGTAATGCCTTGTTAATGAGTAAAAAATTTTTGTCTAACGTGTGTGGCACAAAATCTATTTGTTGCTAGGAACTTCACTCGTTTATGGCACCACGTAAAATATTTAATTATTTCATTGGTAAATGAATTGATTTAATATATGTAAAAGATCATTAGCCTAATTCAAGTTCGTTTCTTTCGGGCGTAGAAATTCATTCAGTTTCTGTCTTGCTCATTGAGTTGCTTGTTGCCAAAAAAAACTTTTTTTTAGTCTTTATGAATGTGAAACATGATGTGTGCGACTTGTTTATACTCATAATGCTGTATGTTTTGATGATAATATGCAAATTAAGTTTTGACTCGGTTTGTCCGACAGTTAACTTGAGGATACGATGAGTTGGTGAATTCTTAAGCAAATTGGGTAAGAATGGTTGTTGAAAAACAAAGGAATTGTATGCTTGTGACATACTGGCATAGATTTTCTTGGACGGGTATTTTTAAATAATTTTTCTATTCTTGAATTAATAGATTTGTTGGATTGTACTGTAATGAGACGTCCAGAAAGCGGTTTCAAGAGAATTTTACCCAAGAAACAAAAATCTATGTACCAAAAGTAATGTAACTAGGGGTATGGTATCTCGAATAGCCCTAGAAACTGACCCCAGAACTTCCGAACATGCAAAAACTCCGATTTAAGTTCTTGGTCTATCAACAAATATTTGCAAAATAATATAAAAGTCAAGTTCATCAACACATTTAAAATGCGCTCTAAAAAATTAAACCTTTTCCAAGTCAAACTATTCTCACTTCCGGACAGACTTAAATAAATTTATTGTCTTTTATAAAAGAATAAAAAAAATAATTCTGCGAATATGACATTTTCGGTTTCGAGAATTTGAAGTGAAGCGTACAGTTTTTGTGGATTATAGACAAAAAAAGCCATGCAAACATGTGTGTTTTCCTGTACTTCCTGTCTTTCACAATATTTTTTTGTTCTTATCACTTTTATCCTGTCGTCATGTGCTAATTCATTGTTGTTAAAAAATTATGAATAAGAATGTATTAGACAAAACATTTAAAGGAGGAAGAATTGATAAATGAAAAATAAATAGCACCTAAAGCTGTAAACTAATTGATAAGAAGGTAATACATTTGAATAACTGCCTTCAGTTGTTTATACAGGCTGGAGCATGAAGGAATTCATAGAGTTATACTAAATTCAAAACATAAACAGAGATTGTATGATTTAGGAATATGAGCATGAAAATTATCTTTTTGCTTTAAATTGTCTGTGATTAGCAATTTAAAGTGTATTACATTTATCATGAATTTATGAAATTAACAGAATTAAAGTTGACACGCTCATTAAACAATTAAAGAAACTTTCTGAATTTTTGAGCAACTGTCAATTTGCAATCCAACTAATAATCACTAGATTCGACAACATTTCAAATATTTTAGATACATTGAACATAATGCTCCAATGCTCCAGTGTCATTAGCATTGTGCGAATCTTTGAAATACTGATGACCCCCCCCCCCCCCCCTCCCTCCTTTAAAGCTATTTGATTTAACAAGGTATCTCAAGCAATATAGTAAAGGATGACGTCTGAAAATAATCTTAAAACCTCCTTCCTCCTTCCTTTAAAGCTATTTGATTTAACAAGGTATCTCAAGCAACATAGTAAAGGATGACGTCTGAAAATAATCTTAAAACCAAAATAAATACTTAACGTCCTACAATAAAATAATTTTTTTTTATCACAGTGGGAATTCTCCATAATAAAGTGCATGTTTATATACAAAAACAAATTATTCAATGTGAAATATGAGACAAAATGACGTCACAGATATTTTTGCATGTCATCCTGAATGAGAGATTATGTTATTGTTGTGGAAAGAAAATCGATAAAAGGAGGATGAATTATAGTTTATGACATAATATGAAAAAATTTGGAGCAAAGTGAAAAACCATAAAAGTGCTTGTCCAGCATTTGCCAAAGTCATTTCCTTCTTAATGATATTGTCCTAATCTAAAATTTTTATTTCACGAATTGTGAAATATTCTTTTGACTCACATGACTTTTGATCGTAAACAATATGGAATTTCGCAACATTTTGTAAAATAATGGCATTGAAAAGTCCTTTAAAATCGTCTTCAAAGTCGTTTTGTGTGATTCTGAAAGTAATTTCGCAATGTTGCTTTTTAACGGTTTTTTTGTAAAAAATTGAAATATTGTTGAAATTAAAGTAACGATCGAAATAAATTTGAATTACCGAAACCTAAATACAGAAAGTAAACAACAAACTCGTGCGCGATTGATTCGGGAAAAAATTATAAAATAATTAAAGAAATACGTAAAAGAACTTATTAAAAGTGGTGAGCAATGGAAAATACTACAATTATTTCCCAAATTAAAGTGTTGTCATGAATAAACAATTGATTTAAATAGTGTATTTTAACCTTTCTTGCCAGTCACATTTTTACTCGTTTTTATTCTTTCGGTTAATTAAGAAATTAATGAAAAGAATCTCATTATCAAATTAAAAATTCATTAATAGATGTAATTAAAAGGAGAGGCAAGAGAGGAAGTTCGTGCTGTTACATTCATTGCATAAAAAATTTATGATGAAATTTAATTGTGCAAAATTAAAGCAAAAACTTTCAGTTCAGTGAGCAAAAGAAGAAGAACTTTTTAAGTACGATACGATACGTAAAAAGTCAAGTGAAACAAGTGAATTATAATTTTAGGCATAAATTTAACTTAATTGTGAATTACTAAAAAGTGAACGAAGATATGTTAAGAAAAATTCCAGTAATTGTGATACTGGGATCAACCGGAACCGGCAAAACGAAACTGTCAATCGAACTTGCACGGAGATTTAATGCTGAAATCATTTCAGCTGATTCGATGCAGGTAATTCTTCATGCTTTTTATGGGATTATAAGAGGACTGTGTCTGAACTTAAGTAAACTAAAAATAACTGACTGGTCATTTTGGACTGTTAGCTGTCTAAGTGAACAAACATTATGAACAGGGTACACATATAAAATGCGCTTTCAACAACAATGGATAAAGGCTTAAAACGTCCATACAACTTTTCAGTTCCCATAGCATCATCGAAGCTCTTCTGTTTGTAATTTGATCGTTTTTATTGGACTTTTATGGTTATTATAGTCGTAGCAAGAACTGAAGAAGATTTAGAAAGTCAATTTCGTTCCTCTCACTTTTTTCTATATCTTTCTCCACTTTGGTCATCAACGTCTACACTTATGCATGTTAAATTTGTTTTTTATGACCACAACATGCTATTGATTAACAGTAAATTGCCTTAACAGCCTGCATTTCTCCTTTAATTTATTTTTTGTTCTTTTCTTAACGTAATTAAATATTTATTTTTCCACAGGTGTACAAAGGATTGAGTATAGCAACGGCAAAAGCCACAAACGATGAACAAATGCAAGCACCTCACCACTTACTCGATATAGCAACCCCACATGAACCGTTCACCGTAACGCACTTTCGTGATAAAGCTTTACCAATTGTAAGTAACTTCTACATAAATTTACTTTACTTTTCGTGTGGTATTTTTGATATTTCTTACTTCTTCCTTCCTTTTGCCTGTCTATCTATTCCATTTACTTTCATTTTCTTATTTTTCTACCATTATTTAAATATAAGTAAAATTATATTAATAATATAATATAAATTCGCATATATAATGAGAAAGGAAATGCTGTTGATTAAGAAGAAGAATAAAGCATCATGAATTTATAGACTGGTTATTACACAATACACGAACATCTTTAAAACTATCTTCGCTTATTTACTGCGAATTCTATAAACCTTTTTTTTTTCGTTCCTATTTGATCTGCAAGGTATGGGCAATTGAAGATACTTTTATATTTATTAGAATTGAAGATTTATTCCACTTTGAAGTAAGTTCCCATAAAATAAATTTACCATGTTGTTTATAGTTTCTTCTGCAAACAAAAATCAATCAAAAAGTTAACTTCCAAAGCATATTGTAGCATCCATAAATCACATGAATGCAGCCGTTTTCGAAAACTTAATTTATTGCTTCATTTTACCAGACATGAAAATATTTCAACAATTCTTGATAAACTTGCAGAATTGTTACTTAAACTTAAATTTTATGCATGGCATTTTAGCAAGGCTAAATCAATTTTAATTTAATGCAGTCGTACACGAGCAAAATATTCCTTAAAGATCTAAGCAACAGAATCACTAATATTTCCGTTATCGAATATTCAGATGAAATCTAACTCTAAGTTCAACGTATGGCATTTAATAACGATAATCAAAATATTATTAATGAAAATTTAAATCTATATATTTTGTTTTGTGCAGACAACGAGTCAATGATTTCGCATTCCAATGGCCTTAACGTGCATTCTTTCGTTTAGCAACGACGACAAAAAAAAATTGTACATAAACGATTTTTTAATAGACGAAAGGGAAATCTTTCATATTCATAATGAATAATTGAATTCGCCGCAGACATCATTTCCTGTGAAAGGAAATATGAAACTATCTACATATTGTGCCAATTATATTTATTACTACACATAAATTAATTTGTTTTGAATTTCCCGAATGAGAAAGGATAGAAAATTTTATAATTTGACTTAGTTATGAATTTAAGGAATAACAATTTACTTGGGGTGGAATATTTAAATAGAATCACAGACATTCCTCCTTTCTTAATACCGAACATCGTACATTTTGCTAAACGAAATTGACGTGATCATCTCCACGGTTCTACCCAGATGTCTGCAATATTGTTTATAAGATTAGAATTGGAATAAATTTATTAATTCAGAGACTCAGCTTCACGATCTATCTAAAGATCAAAGTGCTATTTGCTAGACTATATTTTTGAGGCTCCATGGAAAATTTCCATCAGTTATATTTAAATCAGAAATGTCTATCTATAAAAACTAATAGTTTTTGACACTCAAAAAGTAACACGTTTCTATCATCACTATAGCTTTTTTTTTCTGCCATGCGTAACAAGATAATTATCTTCAATTAGCAACAAAAAAAAATATTTCTCGCGTTCAATAAACTTAAACAAAGAATATTTCGATATATTTCGAAAATAACACTGATCCTCAATATTGATTAATTAATAACTCAATATTCAATAGACATAAAATCGGTTTTCCTTTTTGAACGGAGGCAGTTAAAGAATTTAAAATGTCAGGATCAATCGAATTAAACCTGATTTTTCTAAACAATAAAAAGCTAAATAGGTGCTATAATGGAAAGATTTTAGATGAAATCAATTTAATTTTTTTTTTTTTTTCAAAGAAATAGGAAAAAAAATATTACAGGCATTAAGGATTAGTGAATGATTAATATATTGATTTTCTTAGGCAACATAAGTTGTCTGTGATCTCTATATTAATGAATTAAATTAAACGTTAATGAAGTTGATTGAAAAAATTTAATCACTTCTTTTTAGTAACTTGAAACGTTCAATAATTAAGTGATTTGTAAACAAAAGGAAACGCAATAAGGTTTTTCATTGAATGGATTAAGACAATTATGTATGTTAATAATATTGAATGATTTTTCAACGTACTTTTTACTGTTGCTAGGATGAGAGATTAAACATTTTTGAAACTCATTTTCGTAAGCGTTGCTTCAACAAAGGCTTGATTTCACTGCGTCATCTTATAAACTTGGGAAAGTTGAATAAAAAAAAACTTTTGATAAAATTTAATACAGCGGATAAAACTTGTCATACGAAATTTTGATTAATCCATTAATCAAGCTTGCATTTGGACAAAATTTCTCTCCAAAAGTAGACTAATTTAAGTTGACAAATTTATTCAAAAAAATACTCAAAGTGACATTTGCAAATGGCATATTCAGTCGCTCATTAAAATTCACATTCTCTTTCCAAATTCTTTTGCTTTTTCATGCGTGAAACTCACATCTAATTTAAATTTAAATTTCTTTTTGATAGTCAGGCAAAATTTGAAAACAATTCTTCTTCTTGTCTTTTTGCTACCCCTAAAAACCATAATACGCTTCTTTTTTGAATTCGCGCAAATCTTTTGTTTCGTGTCTTTAACAAAAACGATTGTTGTTGCTAGTTTAGAATTTTTTTCCATGAGAACCTGAAAGAAATCACACAAAAAGAATAAGAAGTAAATAAGCATCATAAAAAAAATATCGGTATAGAACTGAATAAGCGATATATGATTGTGGATGAACAAGTCCCTAAGAACATAATGAATAAGTGTACGCTGTTGACGACATATAATCAAGAATTTTAAAAATTCCTATTAAAAAATCCAGTTTTCGTTGTATATTCTTTGAATAAGAAGGGTATGTGGATGCACGTTGTCTGTCCGTTCTTAAATATAATTCATCTTCTTTGTTCAAGAACAATCTTAATGAATTTAGATGAAATGCGCCATCAATATTGAAACTTAATATTTTTGTACCAATTCTATAATTCAGAAAGCGACTCGCTTGGAAAAAAATTTAGCATATAAAATTTTTCGATCTTCCTTAGAAGCCATTGTGCTCATTATTTTTCATTTCATCATTGAGACGATCTCATTCCGTTCACAAAAAAAAAACAACCATGTTCAAATTCATATGAATCCCGTTTCTTTTTCGCTCCCTTTTATGTCATTAAAGTGGAAAGATTTGCTGCCTTATTTCATGTATGTGAATCTTTTTTTTTTTATTCCTTCCTTACCTCATTGCTATGCTATCTGCTTACTTCTTATTGGAATTGTTGATGAGCCAAAATAAGACGACGATGAAGAACAAAAAAAAAATCATATTGGCACAAATTTTCTCATTTTGATGCGTCAAAACAAGTCATAAAAACAAACTCGAATACCTCTTCTTTCATTTGTTGTTATTACTTTTTCCTCTTCAATTCTTCTTTCGGCGTTTCTTTTCTGTAAACACAAAACAAAACAGAAGAAAAAAAAATACCAAAAAAATTGGTTTTAGTGAAAACGAAAGAAGAAATTCTAGGCAATAATCATTTTTTCGTAGATAGACACACAATTAGCATACACGAGATCAACTTTGATGTTTTCGGTAAACACATGATCTACAACGCATAAGTTTTGTTTGGATACGGAATGAAGATATTTTGTAAAAATAAGGTGTGGTGGATACAGAAGTTTAGAACAGGCTGCTTGTTTGGATGTCAATTATCTTTATCATAGCTAACAGGCTGATAGAATATGTTCAGTGTTAAAAATTGGGACATTTGAGAACTTCTCCAGTCAGCTCCCCAAGAGAACAACTGGATGATTAAAACCTAGTTCTGAAGACAACCAATTGCAACTAGGTGTTATTGGTCCTCCTTGGAACTCAAAAAATTGTTCAATTTTTCCCTCAGATTAGGTTCTCTGTTGAACGAGCTTTAGAATTTAGTTTTAACAATCTTCCTCATTCCAGTACTTAAAACAGACAAACTGCAAACTCGAGTAGCTTCCCAACCAGTCAAAAAAGCTTTCAAAATATTTACATGAAAAAAATCTAATCTTTATTAATGTTCCTAATTAAATTTTCGTTTCGTGAAAGAAGAACTCGAAACTCCATTAAACTTTCTGCTTATCTGCTTTCCTTTTGCTTCACTTCGATCGTCAAAGTGTTTAAATTGCGTAAAATTTTTCATCTTATTTCGTTTTTAACGCTTGATTTGGTGAAGAGAGAGAAAAAATAAAAGATTTTTAGATGAAAATTTCATGTCTAAACAATCATGCAATACCAATTTGCAATGGGCAATCGATTTCCGACTGTGTACATTCACTAGATGAGCAAGAGTCGAAAAAATTCTTGTTAATTTCAACATCAAATATTCTGAAAGAATTTTTTATTCTTCTTTCAGTCTTTATATTATTATTATTTTTATTAAATTGTGTATATAAGCAACAATGTATTGGGTAATAAGGCGTACATGCTATGTATATCTTATAGATCGTGAAAGGTAAATAATCTGAAAAAATGTGTAAATTAACCAAAAAAAATTCACGAAGAAATAATATGAATGAGAAGAAAAGGAACGAGATTGAATGTGATAAATTGAGAAGCATTGAGTAACCAACAAGTCTTAACCAGAGATCGAAGCCGATTTTTTCGGCTTAACTCAATTTTTGATTTTTTTGATAGAAAAAAGCCATTTGACACCCATTTCAAGTATTTAAATTGAACTTTACATGCTTTACTATGATTCTGTGTAATATTTTGTCAGCAAATAGCTATAGTGAGCTCAGAATTTCAATTTAGCCGATTTTAAGCCGATCGGCTTAAATTTCGGCTTAACATTCTTTAACTTGAAATTCTGAGCTTCCTATAGCTACATGCTGACAAAATATTACACAGAATCATAGTAAAGCATGTAAAGTTCAACTTAAATACTTGAAATGGGTGTCAAATGGCTTTTTTCTATCAAAAAAATCAAAAATTGAGTTAAGCCGAAAAAATCGGCTTCGATCTCTGGTCTTAACGATTCATCATATTTTCATTAACCAGTATTTCTTT